TTTAGAGTCCTGGTGTGGTGCTATGGGTTAAGCACTGGACCACAAGGTTGGTTTGCTTCACAAGCTCTGCAGTTCAAGCTCACCAACTGCTCCTCGGAAACCCTATTTAGGGTTGCTATGAATTGGAACCAACTCAATGGCACTTCACTATAACTGTGTATTTGATTGGAAGTGTCTGAATATATACATGTTTATAAATGTGCATGAGTGCATTCTTGCAGGGGAAGCCAGGTTCATTCATTGAAGAATATATTGGACACACATGTGTGTGCATGCAGGAGAGCATATCTATGGACAGACATACATATGCTTTGTGTGCAAACATGCCTGCATGTCTATGAGCATGAATGGATGCACATGGTTCATACATGTGGTACATTCAGGGTTTAATTACACCCACAGACCTGCAGGGATAGGCACTGGCTACATGTCTGTGTACTTGGGTGTGTACATGTGTGAGCATTGTTGCTGGCATGAGTGTCGAGGTGTGCTTGTGCACCCACATGTACACACTGACGCATGAGTCCTCTGGCTCTGAGAGGGACCTCAGAACAAGGCTGACAGGGTTACATTTTCCAGAGACTCAGCAGCCAGTGATGGAGCTGGCCTGAGAGCACTTGCTGGCAGGAGGTAAGTGGAGCTGCTGATTCGTGACCCGGGGTGGGCTGTGCTGATGGCTGGCTGACAGATGTGGGCGCTTATCTGCCCTTATGACAGCCACCAATTCTCTGAGTTGCCTGAATCAGGAGGTGGGGAGGCTAGTTCTTGACCTGTGGGGGCTCAATGCTGGCTTCCTACTTCCTTGTTCCATGGGCACACACAAGCTGGTACACACCAGAGATACACAGACCAGGCTTAGATTGGAGCCAGTCACCTTGGCCCCACCTCCACCTTGCTCCTTGGCTCTGCCATCTGTCTTGAATGCCTCTTCTTTTCACTAACCTGATTTTCTCTCCTCCCCATACCCCCATGACAAATCTCCGTTCTTTCCCAAATAGAGCTTCCAGGTTCCAAGACATCCTGCTCTGTGCAGAGCCATGGTGGGGGGTGTGGAAAAGAATCTTGGGTCCTTACAAGGTTGGTGTCCTTGGGTTCCTCATCTGTCGAATGGGGTGACTAAGAGTGTCTGCTTACAACTAAACCAGGTGAGAGATGAGAAGTACTAAGCATAGCAAACACAAATTGCTGAGTTGTTCCTGAATTAGTATTAATAAGGTGCAGTGCTTAGAACAGTACTATACTGCATGAGGCAGCTTCAAAAAGTTCATTGAAAGATAATGGAATTTCCCCACGATCTTTCACATAAGTGCACTAATGTCATCATCATTAGCATCACTATAGCCATTAATCTCCATGGTTCTGAAATTCTTGACCAATTATGCATCAATTCTTGCTCCTGACCCTATGCTTTTATCTTATGTTAATGATGGTGATATGCACTTCCCCACATGCCTTGTAGGGAAGGCAGACCTGGTCATCTGAAAGCTCTTGGCTCTCTGAGCTCCTTGATGGAGTTGGATGTATCTATTTGGGGCCAATCACTGAGGGTGGTCATACTCTCTGCAGAACACAGGGAGAAGGATTTGGGGCTATTGAGGTATGTGGAGGGAAACAATGAGATGGCCAAAGGCAGTGTCCCCCACAACCTCACCCTTCTTTGGAACCCCCAAACAAGCTTGGCATGAGTGGACATCTTGTGGAGTCCAGAGAAGAGACTGGATTCACAGGACTTCATGCCTGGGTTGGCTCAGGGCCCATTGGAGACAGCAAGTGTGGGTGCAGGAACAAGAGACAGAGAGGGTCTCTGGCAATGTTGTTTCCCTTCCGACCCCTTTGACCAATTTCAGAATGAACAGAAAGCACGGGGAAGGATTTGGGACTCCCACAGGCTGTAGAATGTGGTGAGGGGAGAAACAAGCTCTCTAGAGCCCAGACAGCTGACATCTGAAAATATCTGGGCGGTATGGTAAGTGCTTACTGTGTGCCAGGCACTGTGTGTGCTGCTAGTGACATAGGTACTGAGGCCAGCGTGTCAGCCTTAAATCTTGGGAACTCCACTTTTTAGTTGTTTGATGTTGTACAAATTACTTCACCTCTTTGTGTCTCAGTTTTCTTACCAATAAAATGGGGGTTCCTCATTGCGTTGTTGTGGGATCCAATGAGTTAATCCATGTAAAGGGTTTAGAGCTGTGCTTGGTGCCTGGGAAACTCAGTAAGTGTCTGGTGTTATTACATTTGATACTCGGGATAACCCTAGGAAGCGGGTACTCTGAGTGTGTCCACTTTATAGATAAGAAAATGAAGGCATGAAGAGGGTCAATGACGTATTCAAAATCCCACAGCTGGTAAACTGCAGAGTCAGAGACTCTGGAGAAGAGAATGGTCTTGATTTCTGACCCTGTATTTAACTCTGTGTGACCTTGAGCAGTGCATTCCTATGTGTGAGGTTTGGACAAGATGTTACAGCGTCCTTGTGAACCCATGTCTGTGTGTCTCTCTGGACACATCACCTGCCTGTAACCTTCTTGGCAGGGTCAGAATCTACAAAGGCAGCGGGTGCAGGTGGAAGGAACAAAGACTTGGACTCAGAGTGTTGTCCCATTCTGTCCACACTAGCTGGGTGACTTTGAGCTAGTCACTTCTCTGAGTCTCAGTTTCCTCTTCTGCACAATGGACAGGACAATAAACCACATCAAAATCCCTGTTGGGATTCTGTATGTGAGAACTGGACACACATGGGGGAGGGAGGTGATTGTATATCTCTCCACTGGTCCCCAAGTTTCCATATCCACTTGTAGCATTGGCTTAAGTGTCCCACACAGGAAGAGTTATTTGGCCAACCACACCAAACCCAAGAAGCTCTGGTAGCATAGTGGTTATAAGTTTGGCTGCTAACCTCAAGGTCAGAAGTTCGAAACTACCAGCAGTTCTGCAGGAGAAAGATGAGGCTTTCTGCTCCCATAAAGATTTACAGCCTTGGAAACCCCATGCAGGGTTGCTATGAGTCAGAACTGACTCCACACGGCACACCATCACCACCACCACACCAAACCCACATCCCCATCACTGGCTACCATTGATGGACTTTAGGAGGCATGTTCAAATTGAGCAAAGCAGCAAATTTCTTAGCTTGACCCTCAGGTTCTTTTTACAACCACTCTACAACCACTTTACATCCCCTAATTCCTCCATTCTGGGATCCAGTCCCTGGGACCACACATCATTCTTCCACCTCTAGTCCTGTCCTCTGCTACTTTTGCACAGCCGTTCTCTCTGTTTGGAATGCTCTTGTTTGCTTGGCCACCTTATACTTGTTCTTCAGGACCCAATTGGATGCCACTGCCTCCAGGCAGCCCTCCAGGAATTATTGAGTCTTTCTGCTACAACTCTTACCAAGTGCATTATTACTGGCTACCCCACCCCTGGACCTTTCTCTAGATGGACCTGGAGTTCCTGGAAGGCAGGAACGTCCATATCACGTGGAACCTTGGACTGATTGCTACTCTCTGAGCCTCAGATTCCTCACTTGTGAACTGGGACCGACAGTATCTTAGAGGTTTGTCAAGATTTAAATCACACAGGTAAGGCACTCAGGACGTAATGAACAGCTCTGGATCCATCACAGTGAACCTCAGCAAACATGGAGGTCATGAATGAATGCTCTCTAGAAGGTTAAAACTATAAGGCTAATGAGTGTTTATTGAGCACTTTCAATGTGTTAAGGAGGCACTCAGATTAGCATTTAACATTCATTACCTCCTTTAAGCCTTCAAACAATCCTCTCAGGAAGAGATTGCCATTATCCCATTTTACAGATGAGGAAACGGAGGGTTCAGCATTTGAGGAGCTTGATGAGCGAAACCCAGCTAGTAGAAGCTGGGAGCCACATCTGATTAAGGTGGAATGAATGAGTCACTTGCAGTGGGTAAGAGGAAACCAGTAATCTATGTCTTATATGGTTTCAGAGCTAGAAACTCTTAGCGACAATTTAGCTCCGGGATTCTTAACTTAGGGTCCATGAATGGGTAGAGCGATAGGTGTCTGGATGGGATAAAGTCCTCATCACACTTGGTGGCTTCTAACTCCTCTCTCTCTTATTAACCCTCCACCCCCACCCAAGTCTCTGGAGTGTACTCTCCTGGCACCCCTGCCAGGTGTCCTACTCCTAAGTCCTTTGGGACACCCAACTCCCCACTAAGATTTGGGAGTGGTGCAGGAACTGACAATTGGGACAATTTCTTCCTCTCTTCCAAAGGGCAGCTGGGTCTGAAAGGCAGGCACACTGGGCTTCTAATAATGACCATGATAATAACAACACAGTGATAATAATAGTAGTGTTGGCTAACATTTATTGAACACCTACTATGTGCTAGGCACTGTCCTAACCACTTCACACGTACCCTTCTTATCCTCACAGCTCTTCGAGGTAGGTTCTGTTATTAACCCCATTTGACAGATGAGGAAACTGAGGTCCAGGGAAGTGAGGTAACTTGCCCAAGGCTAGGCAGCTGGTAAGTGCTCAAGGCTCAGCCACTAACTAGCTGGGTGTCCTTGGACAGGTCACAGCCACATCTTTGGGTGGCCTTCCCCATTTGTTACTTGGAGGTCCCACCTCATGGTTTCTATGACAACTGAGATGGTCTCTATACAGCGTCCCAGCACACAGTAGGCGCTTAGTAAATGAACAGCCCTTCTTTCCTCTTAACTCTGTTCTGGGAGGCAGAACTTTGTGAGGGGTCTCAGCAGCGCCCCCTAGGCCAGCACTGGGTAACCGGCTCTTCCCTTCACAGCAACACAATCCCATCTCCCTCTGTATCCCAGAGCCACGCAATGCCCGGTGTAGCTGCAGTTTTAATGACATTGGTCATAATTCCCGTGCCCCTGGGTCTGAAAGCTGCCCCCGAGAAGGGACACGGAGGATCAGCCCTATCAGGCCCCTCCCAATCGTCGGCCCTGGAGGTGGGAGGGTTGGGGAGGTGAGCTGCAGCAGCTCCCTCCTTCCCCCATAGTAGGGCGCGGCCCCCGCTAGGAGGTCGGGGCTGGATCGTCGGCTCGGTGGCCGGCGTAGAGTGCGGCCAGCGGCCGGAAGCGAGGGCCCCAGCTGCTGAGATAGGTGAAGTCCTGCTCGGAGCCCGACGAGCCGCTGTACAGCGAGCTGAGCGAGGCGGCCGGCGAGTCTGCGCCCTCGAAGGCATACGTCTGGAAGGCGTCGTAGGGCGGCACCGACAGGTCCCCGTCCGCCAGCGCCACCTTGCGGCCGATGAAGTCCCTGAACACCGAGAAGTCCGGCTCCGGGCTCGACGGCCCCTGTGGCAGCGAGTGGCGCTCCGATGGCAGGCCGGCCTGCTGGGGGCTGTCCGCGCTCTCACCGGGGCCCCCGCCGCCACCCCCATCGCTGCCTTTGAGCTCGCCGAAGTCATAGAGGCTCCGTAACGCCGACATGTCGTAGGCTTCAGTGTCCTGCTCGCCGCCACCCTCATCATTGTATTTGATGACGTTGTCCCGCATGTCCTCATCCTCGTCCGAGCTCAGGTGACTCTTGTGGTGGCGCCTGAGGGTGAGGATCAGCAGCACCAGCACTGAGCATAGGAGAGAGAAAGGGCAATGAGGGTGGAGCCACCGCCGGGACATAGAGATGGGGTGAGGTGGCTCCTCACCCCTGTCCCTCACACCCTATGGCCAAGAGGACCCAACCTCAACACCCCTGCAAAATTTCTCGATTTCTCCTCCAGAGACCTTTCATACAGTCAGTCAGAACTGAAAGGGCGGTCTGCAAAGTTAGTGACCTCCCCGTCTCAGGAAGTGTGCAAATCTAGGCTAGACCGCCACTGGGGGGGTGGGGGGAATCAGAGAGCTGGAGTTTGCATGAATGCTGAGATGTTGTGTGCCTTCACCTCCATGCTGACTCATAGTAATCCTATATGACAGTGTAGAATTTCCTAGGCTGTACCCTTTTGTGGGAGCAGACCACTTGGTCTTTTCTTCCACAGACTGAGTTCTAACTGCCAGCCTTTAGGTTAGCAAGCCAGCACTTAACCATTGTGCCACCAGGGTTCATTGAGTGTTGGGTAAGGGCTGGATTCAACCTTTGAGGTCCCCTGTGAAGACTCCAAATGCTGGAGGTGTGATGGAAGAGGGCTGGCAGAGTGAAAGATGTCCTTTACTCTCATCTCTCACTCTCACTTCAGTCCTTTGGGTACCAGGTCCAGGTACTTCCTGCAGGGACCTTTCCCAGAGAGCACCAAGTGACATTCAGTGTCTTTGTCCTGAGTTCCCCTGGTAATGAGTTCCTTCCTCTAGCATAGTGGTTCTCAAAGTGTGGTCCCAGACCAGCAGCACCGAAGAAGTGCTCGTTAGAAATGCAAAGTTTTGGGTCCCAGCCTAGATCTCCTGGGTGGGACCCAGCCATCTGTCCCACCAAGTTTTAACAAGACCTCTAGTTGATGCTGAGGCAGCTCAAGAGTCCAGGGTGGCACAGCTGGCCTGTGATTGGCTGCTGACCTGGGTCCCCTGCTTCTTCAAGCCCACCACTTGCTAGGTGTCTAAACTAGGGCAAAACCTTGGGAGCAAAATCTGAAGACAGTTGAGGGCAAAATCTACGCTGCTGTCAGTCCACTTGCAGCCAACTGAACCCCCAAGTGTCCCCAGCAGAAGGTCAGGTTATCCAGGAGCTGAACTGTTCAAAAGTGAACTAGCTCAAATGGTCAAAATGCCAATTATCACCATGGTAACCACAAAGTGACTGACTGCTGCACTTCACGGGGCATTCAGAGCTAAAGAGACTCCAGGGAGGTCTGGGTTGCAGATACCAGCTTTGCTCCGTTTCCTGGTTCCTGTCACCCAGTAACTCTGAAGGAGAAAGACCTGATGATCTGCTTCCCTAAATATGACATCCAATAACACCCTAGAGAGCAGTTCTGCATCAGGTAGCATTGATCTGATGGTAACAAGTGTGCACAGACCCTGCTGCGATTGTGTGTTAACATGTTTGCACTAGAGAAACAAACAAAACACAGCTCAACTACCCTCAAGGACTAAGGAAACACTTCCTTAGCTTGGCACCTGACCTGCTGTCAGCACTTGAGTTTGTTAAATGAATGAATGACCACTTGAGGAGGTGGAGGTAAACCTGGTGAGTGAAAGGGTGAGGGAGTGAATGAATCGTCTCCTTTTGGCTTTCTTCACTTGACTTCCAGGACTCCACATTCTTCTCATCCTCCCTGATACTTCCTCCATCTTCTAAGCAGTTTTCTCCTCATTTCTCCAACTTCTTAAGGTGGTCTGTTTTCATGAGCATGCCCTGGGAGCTCTCCTTCAGCCTCATGGCTATAAGTTCCATTTAAAAGGCGGCAACTCCCATCTCTCAACCTCTAGCCAGGTCCTCTTCCCTGAGCTCCACATTGTGTGTCAATTTCCTACTCAGTATGTCCTCTTGGCTGACCAGAAGACTCTCAAAGTTACTATGTTCAAAGGTGACATAATCATCTTTCCTCCTTCCTGACCCTCAGTCTTCTCCATCTCAGTGGTGGCAGCTCCAACTTTCAATCGGGTCGTTTAGTCTCTTTTTTTCACTGATGAATTGCTAGCACCTAGAACCTTTCAGCACAGAGCATGGATAAATAGGTAAAATGGATAAAGGAGACAGAGGATTAAATGGGTAGGTGATGGATGAATGAATGAATGCATGGACAGACAGGGCTGAGGGCACTGGACACTTCTTAGTGCTCCAAACAGTTCCAGCAGGGCCAGTGGTCAGAGCCAGCTCCTGTGGCCATTGGCTCGTGGCAGGGAAGGGGTGGAGGTTTGGCAGCAGGTCCAGGGGATGGGCAGGAGGGAGGGAAAGTGCCAGGAGAGAAGTGGGAAAGATAGATGGACTGTTTTCGGAGCTGTGGATGGGGATGCCCATGAGAGCAGATGGTGGGGCGTTCGGGCAGCGGGCGACAGATGTGCCGTGCCTGATCAGCGATTCCGCCCGTCACCTTTAGAGCACTGATGCGCACTTTCTTCGTTTGTGGGCAATTAGGCAGAAATTTGTTTGCACTGCCTTGGAAAATGAAACCGCTGTAAAGTGCACCCTCTGGAAAAAGGGTTTCTGAGCGAGCCATGGGCTGGGATGGAGAGGGGGAGGGTTGGCCTTTAGGTGGGAAGAGCCTATCCAGGCCTCTTTGGGACCTGAGGAGGTACTGGTCTATGAGCTGGCTAGCAGGCAAGCCATTAGCAGAAGCTGTACTAGTGGCAAGAGGTGGGCTATGTGGTGTGTGGGCAGCCAGCCGACAAGTCCCAGGAAACGGAACAAAGCAGACATCTGCAATGTGGACCTCCCTTGAATCTCTCTAGCTCTGATTCTGCATTTGAGCTGGTTCAATTTTGACCAGTTTAGCGCCTGACCTGCTACTGGGGTCATCTGGGAGTTTACTTGGCTGCTGGTGGGACTGATAACAAAGTAGATTTTGTCACCAGATGTTTTAAGATTTTCCTCCAGCTGTCCCAAGGTTTTGCATTTAGCAGGAGGAACAGGAAAGCCAGGGTGAGAATTCAAGTCAGAAAATTAACTTGGACAAGCCACATAGACTTTCAGCTTCAGTTTCCTCATCTGAGAAATGGGATGTGGTACGGACTGCATAGGTGTGAGACTCACAAGAAAGACTGTTTAATTAAAGTTCTACACACTCGCTAGCCCACTGCCATCAAGTTGGGTCTGACTCACAGCGACCCTATATGACTTCCCAGGCTGTAAATCCTTATGGGAGCAGAACGTCTCATCTATCTCCTGAGGAGCGGCTGGTGGGTTTGAACTACCAGCCTTGCAGCTAGCAGTCCAGTGCTTATCCTACAGTGCCATCAGGACTCCTTAAAGTCCTACAGAAAGACCTAAGGGAGGATCCCTGGTGGTACAGTGGTTAAGCACACTGCTGCTAACCCAATGGTTGGCAGGTTCAACCCACTAGCTGCTCCTCAGCTATGAAGTTTACAGCCTTATAAACCCTGTGGGAACCAACTCAATGGAAATTGAGTTGAAACTCAATGTATTTACAAAAGAGAATTAAAAAAAAAAGAAAAAAGATTTGTTTTTAAACAATCAGATGTTGAATTTCAGGGAGGGTGTGGGCCATGTGGAGGGTGGACCAGCATAAACGTAGCCCCAGGTGGGAGCTGACACTCTTGAGCTGGTGAAAGTTAGAAGACAGCGCAGGTTACAGGTTACAGCTCAGAGACCATTCAGATCAGCCCATCGTTGTACAAGGAGGGAAACGGAGGCTTCTTGGGGGGCCCGTTGGGTTGAAACCCAGGTTCAGCTAAGGGATGGGAGATGCCTGGGTGACTCACCGACCAGGATGAGGACACAGACCAGCAGGGCGATGAGGGCGCCGGGGCTAAGGGAGGCAGCCACGACGAAGGCTGTGGTGTTACAGGACTGGATGGCGCCTGAGCTGTCACAGCCGCAGATACGGATGGTGAGCGTTCCTGTGCTGCTCAGCGTGGGTGACCCGCTGTCCACCACCAAGATGGGCAGGAAGAACACGTCCTGCTCCTGTCGGTTGAAGCCCACGTGTTGTGTGTGCACCGCAGCTGTATTGTCTGTTCCAGAAGAAGGGCTGGCTGTGATTCGGAGCCTGGCTCAGCCTCCCCAGTCCCAGCCACCTCCTGTCCCCCCCTCAAGAGCTGCTGTCTTCAGCTGACCCCTGGGTCTATCTCTGCTCTTCCAAAACTCTGTTCCCAGCTGTCTCCAAGAGCCTGTCCCCAGCCATACAGCCCATAATTCTGTCCTCAGTTGTCCCAAGATTCTATTCCCAGCCATCTCAAACTTTTTTTTTCAGCTGTTCCAAGATTCTGTCCCCAGCTGGGCCAACGTCCTGTCCCCACTATGTCAACTTTTTTGTTTGTTTGTTTGCTATTTGTCTCAAGAGCCTTTTGTTTCTCCCCAGATTCCACCCCAGTTTTTCCAGTATGTTCTGGTCCTGGGTGTTCTGTGTTCCTTCGGCTTGCCAAGCCCTGACAAGTTCTAGGTCACCAGAGAGGCTGGAAATGGCAGCTGGTATCTACCTCTGGCTTAGGTAACTTTCTGTTGCTTCATGCCCCAAGGGTCTCTAGTCTGGAGGGTGGTGGCATGGTCCTGGCATGCTGAGGGACCCTAGAGCACCAAGGTTCCCTCCTTCATTTTTATACATGGGAAGAAAGGGTGGTCAGAGAGGACACTGAATTAACTTGTTAAGTGCTGTTGCAGCCTATTGCTGGGAGACTCAGGCAGGGTGCACTCACGTCTTTTGCACCCCCCCCCCCCTGCCTTTGCATCCTTGACCCTCCATCACTGTGATGACTCCTATCAACCAGACACCCTCAGAGGCCAGAGTCAGCCAGCTCCACAAAGGGGGCTCTGGCTTCCTTTGGTGACCTGGTGGAATAGTGAGTTAAGCATGTTGTTGCTAATTGTAAGGTTACTGGTTCAAACCCACCAGAGGCTCTACAGGAGAAAGATGAGGCTGTCTGCTCTCATAAAGATTTACAGTTTTGGAAATCCTAAGGAGCAGGTCTACTCTGTCCTATAGGATTACGACGAGTGGGAATCAGCTCAATGGCAGGGGGTTTGGGTGTGGTTTTTGGTCTTCCTTTGGAGGGCCCAGGCCTCATTCCTGTGTCCTTCTCCTTGCCTCTGTCGTCTGCAGGCTGGTCTTTCTCTCCTATCTGAGGTTTTGGTCTCAGTGAACTCAGTCCCTTCCCCAGCAGACTCCATTCTAGCCTTGCCTATAATGGACATATTGCAGGGAAAAGAGCCTTCAGAAGGACTGAAGGCTGAGGAGACTGAAGGTCCAGATGACACAAGACTGTCCGCTAGGAGGTGAAGCAGTGCAATGAATGGTACATGAGGGTTCATTACATTCGTCTATCATGTCTTCAGGGAGTTCCTGGGTGTTCAATGGTTCATGTGCTTGGCTGCCAACCAAAAGGCAGTTCAAGTCCACCAGAGGCATCTTGGAAGAAAGGCCTGGTGATATGCTTCTGAAATACCAGCCATTGAAAACCCTGTGGAACGCATTGTGGAGTGTGGCACACTCTGATACTTGGCGTTGCCATGAATTAGAACAGACTCAATGGCAACTAACTGCTAAAGAAAGAAAGAAACCTACTGAAATTTGAAACCATTCATAAAAAATGTTAAAAACTTAATGCTGAATCTATCACGGTTACCAGTTCGAAACTATCAGCAGTTCCGTGGGAGAAAGATGAGGCTTTCTGTTCCCATAAAGATTTACAGCCTCGGAAACCCTAAGCAGGGTCACTATGAGTCAGAACTGACTCTACCACCACCATTATTGGACCTCAGTTTTCTCATTTATAAATGAAGAAAAATAGCATCATTTAACCCCTTATAGGTGCGGGAATTAAATGATTAAATGGTGCGATCCACACAGAGCGCTGAGAACAATAGTTCCCACACATGTTGTTTTTGTTAAGTGTCGAATCATTTCTGACCCATAGCAACCCTGTATATAGGGTTTCCGAGGAGCAGCTGGTGAGATTGAACCGCCAACCTGGCAGTTCAAGTGGCTTTGCAGTCTGGTGCATTAACCCACACCAGGACTCGCACATATAGAAGCTGTTTATTGTTGTTGTTATTGTCGTCATACCCTAGCCCTGTTTCCTGGCTCTATGCCATCACCCTTTGGGTAGGTTTCCCTGACTTTACACAGTTCCCACTAGCTGGAACATCTCCTCTTCCCTCTTGTCGGAGCAAATTCCTCATCTGCCATGTTCCAGTTAAATGTCACCTCCTTTCTGTGGCCTCCTTTCTCAGTTTGTTTGGAAAGGAAGGATTTATGGCTTTCTCCTTCCTGCTCTGACTATGCAGGGGCCAGGCACACCTCAGTTACAGCACTTGTCATGTGTGCTACATTGGTGTATGCTTGTCTTTTCACAACACAGTCAGCCGGGGCCCGGTGCTGAGCCAGTCCTGAAAAGTAATGCTTGAACCACAACTCTGAGGTACCTGGTGGTCCTGAGTCGGCTCCTTGAGCTCCGGCTTGAACCCTAGATGCCCTGTCAAAGGGTGACAGAACCCCAGCTGGGAAAACATCTTCCTTCCCCTGGGGAAGAAAGGTGGCTCACGAGCAAGATGGGAAGGAGTGGTGTGGACTCACTCACAGTGACTGGGTGCTTCTGATTCACAAGGACTGTGTTGAGTACTTTAAATACAGTCTTATGCATGCCTGTTGTTGTTAAGTGTCATTGGATCGGCTCTGACTCACAGTGACCCTGTATAGGGTTTTCTAGGAGTGCTTGGTGGGTTTGAACTGCTATCTTGTGGTTAATAGTCCAGTGCTTGTCCTACAGCACAACATCAGGACCCCTATTGGATTCCTACAACCACCAAAAGTTGTCATATTATTCCCATTTTATATATGTGGAAATTGAGGCTCAGAGAGAAGTCCCACTTCATCCTTAACATCGTGCCTTCAATTCCATTTCCTACTACCAGGGGTGGGGGTGGGGGTGCCTTTTAGGATGTCAAGGCATGACTAACCAATGAACAAGCATGTGCTGTTGTTGTTAAGTTCTATTAAGTCAGTTCTGACTAACAGTAAACCTGTATAGGGTTACCAGGAGTCCTGGTGTGGTGCTGTAGGACAAGCACTAGATTGCAAGTTCAGTTTGAACTGCAAGGTCGGTGGTTCAAATTCACCAGTTGCTCCTCAGAAACCCTATACTGGGTCGCTATGAGCCAGAACTGACTCAACGGCACTTAACAACAACAATAAATAGGGTTTCCAAGGAACGACTGATGAGTTTGAACTGCTGACTTTTTGGTTAGCAGTTTAATACTCATCCTGCACACAATGAATTGGTGACGAAGTTACCTTTCCCAAACACCCATCTATCCACTCACCCAACCACCCAGCTATCTATCAATTGACCACATGTTGACTGAGTAACTCCTATGTACTAGTTAATACCATGCTAGTCAGGGGAAAACTGGTGAACTAAATCAGCCACAGTCTCTGATCTGAGCTTACATTCTAATGTGAGACAACTGTTAATCAAATAAACCTATAATCAAATCTACAGTTACAAACCATAACAAAGTATAGGAAGAGCACAAAACAGAAGACTTGACCCAGCTCTGGGGGTCATGAGGGCCCTTAGAAGAAGTGTTATATTATTGCTGAGCCCTAAGTGATGTATAGGCATTAACCAGGAGAGAAAGCGCATGCAAAGGCCCTGAGGTTGGAAGACTCCAGAAACTGCAATCCAGTGTGGTTAGAGTGAGTCAAGATAAGGCAGAGAGGGCTCATTGTGGAAGAGCTTGGAGTCCATGTTAAGGAATTTAGACTATTTTCCTAAAAACAGAAGACTATTGATGGGTTGTTTTAAGAAAAAAAAAAAAAAGTGACTTCATGGTGTATCATTCGTTCATTCCATAGCAAATATTCATTAAGCTCCCTTTACAGTTAGGACTGTTCTAGGCTGCAATGAACCAGACAGATATGGTGCCTACCCGTGCTGAGCCCACATTCTAGTCTGGGAAGTCTGCTGTCTGAAACAGAAGAGTGGATGTGGAAGAGCAGGTTGGAAGCTACTGTGTTTTAGGTGTGAGATAACAGTGTTGGTAGAAGCAGAGAGGAGTAGACAGATTTGAGAAATGAGCGGCTGGCTCTCACATTCCCCAGCAAGAGCAGAAGAGAGGAGGGTTGATGTTTGTCTCTCAGGGTTGCCGTCTTTGGCCACAGAGCCGTATGTTCCAAGGGCTCTCATCTCTGCCACTCCTTCATCCCATCATGAAATGAATTTCCCAAGGTGCCCTCCTGGGCAGCAGCTGGCCTCAGCTGGGGAATTCTCTGGCTGTCCCAGGCCCCCACCCCACCCTTCTAGGTGGGATTGGCACGGGGCACTGCAGCCATCCATCTGGCCTGACATAGATCAGTGTCAATCCCTGGCTGCAGAAGCAATATTTATAAATCAGTTTCCAAACTGGCTACAAATTTGTACAAAGAAACAGATGGGTTGGGGTAGCCGTTTGTCATCCAGGATATTTATATGGTGAGGAGGAGGGGCTTGGCACATTGCAGGAAGGGGCTGTGGGACTGGAGGGGAACCTTTTTTGGCAGTAATGACCTCAAGCATGCTGCTGCCACCTTTGCCTGGAGTTTGGGCCAAGTGGTCACGCTGGGTGTGAGCTCTGGCTGTGCTCCTGTACAAACAGAAGCAGTTGGGGGCAGAACCTCAGGCCCCTCGGGGTGGAAGAACTTGTGAACTTAGCTAGGTGACTCACGACTATCTGCGTCTCCTGGGGCCAGCACAGGACACAGCTGGCATAATGAACAGGTAGCCTGCTGAACCGGTTGTTAAAATATTGAGATACTGCCAAAAAGGTTTAAACAGCCACTACTCTGAGCCCTAGTACTGTAGTGATTATGAGTTAGGTTGCTAACCTTAGAGTCTGTAGTTCGAAACCACCAACCGTTCTGCTACCCATTGTTCTGTGGGAGAAAGATGAGGCTTTCTGCTCCTGTAAATATTTACAGCCTCAGAAACTCTATACAGGGTTGATATGAATCAGAACAGACTCCACAGCACATAACCACCACTACTCTGAGGCCACCCCCAAATGTCCCTCAGTTGCCTCAGCCTTCCCCCACTTCTAGCTACAACCAAGCAATTAAAAGGTTAATGTCTGGCACAGCAGGGGTCCCAGCAGCCTGCTACTAATTATGGTCAGTGTCCTTTCTGATTGGCTAAACTGCACTGGTTGTTAAATATTTTTAAAATGGTGAATACCGGTGGATTAGGTTCATTGAGGGCTTCTCCCTTCAGTGTGTCGCTGTAGGGTAAAGCACTGGCCCACAAGATCATTTTGAACTGCAAGGTCGGCAGTTCAAATTCACTAGCTGCTCCTCAGAAACCCTACACAGGGTCGCTATGAGTCAGAAATAACTCAACAGCACTTAATAACAACAACAACAACGAAGTTCCTGAGGGTGAGTCCAGACCCCTTACAGGGCAAGAAGGAATCAACACACTTTGGCCCCCACTGGGCTTTCTGACCACATCTCCTTCCCCGGCCTCCTGCTCTCTCCCTCCAGCCATGCTTGCCTCCTTCTGTTCCTTCAGCATTCCAGGCCTCTGACCTTTGCACTTGCTAAAAAAAAAGCGTCCCAGGGCCTTTGCACTTGTAGTTTCTGTCACTTGGAGCTTCCTTTGCCCACTTATCTGTACAGTTCATGCCTTCATTTCCTTCAGATTCCTAGTTGACCAGTGATTTTCTCAGAGAGGCTGTCCCAGACCACCCTATTTTAGTTCATTTAAAAAATTTATTTTAGACCACCCTATTTTTGAAAGTCCAGACTCTTGTGTAGATTAGGTTATTCACCCTCACAGACACTTACCACTTATTTCTGTCTTCACGTAAAATAGGGATCTTCTCACATGTAGCCGCTCCTCATTTATGCCCCTTGCCATTGCCCTACCCTTGGAATGCCCTCTCCACTCCGAAAACCCACAACCTGCCTGTTCATGGTTTGGTCAGCAGGCTGAGTAACAGCCTCCACTTAACTGAGACTTTGTGTGGTCATAGCCCCAACAACTGGTCCTCTGGGTGCTTCAGTCTCTCTCCATGTAGTATATGCTAGGGAAAGGGGAGACTAGGCTCCTCCCTCCATGATCCCAGGATTTGTTGGTTCAGACGTAACTCACCTTCGATGTCAAGCAGAGAGAAGTGAGGGTTGCTGGGAGCCTCAGGCACCAGGTGGAAATAGAAGCGGTGGCCACCCTGGGGCTCGTCTCTGTCCACCACGCTAATGGTTTGGATGAGCTGGAAGGTGATAGAGGGGAGGAGGCTGAGCTCACTCTGACCTGGGGAGCGGGTGCCCTTGGCTAGTCCAGGCAGCATGTCCAGGTCCCAGACCCCTTAATGGTACCTGGCCTGGCTTGGCATCCTCACACACGGATGTTTCATAGGGTGTGGCCAGTTCTGGGGGATTGTCGTTCACATCCAGGATTCGAATCCTTAGGGATGCCCGGGAAAGCTGGGCATGATTGTCTGCAACCAGAACACAGGACATGATGAGTGGCATCAGGTGAGGTCTAGACAACCCCTCTCTCTGCTTCTTGAGCAAGATTAGGCAGTCGAGTCACACTGAGAGATCTGGTTGACCAAGTCAGTGATAGGACCAGAAATGGGGACATGTGACCATCAGTGGGTGATTATCACTATAGCCTTCACCACAATCCTTACTGTCACCATCAGCATCATCACCATACCCTTCACCACCACGGTGAACATAAACATCACCACTGCTAGCTTCATCACCATAATCTCCACCATTACTACCTCATTCACTACCATCAAGATGACTACACCCATCACCACCATTAAACCCTGACCACCACCATTAACGTGACCAAAACTATCAATACCACCACCATCAACACCTCCACTGTTGCCATCACATCATCACCACATCTGTGATCATCACTGGAATTACAGCTATCACCTCCACTACTATACCCCTAGTTCCACCCTCATCATCCCTACTAATACCAACACTATTACTATCGCCACCATCACTACCACCACCATCATCCCCAATACTGTCCTCTCATCATCATCCCCGGTCACCACCACCACCATTAACAATGTCATCACTATGCCCATCACCACAGAATACATAGAATGCACCTGGCATAGCCACATTCGACAGTCAAGCTATCCTTGCAGAAATCCTGTGGTTTGGTACAATTTTATCCCCATATTGTAGAAAAGAAATAAAACTGGAAAGGTTTTCAAACTAGGCCTTTAGTTATCACATCTTACAGCTCGACTCCAAAACCTCTGCTTTTTCAAAACCCAACACTGAGAGAGCAAGATGAGTCCCCTGGAGATGGATGTTGGCGAGAGTCCTCAGCAAAACTGCTCCCACCTCACCAGATGTAATCTCTTTGAGGACAAGATCCCTGTCTTATTCATCCTGGGGTCCCCAGAACTATGGGATCTAATAGGTTTCTTGAATGAATGAAGCCTGAATGAATGAAGCCTGGAAGGACTGAGACTGAAGGAGGCTTCAATTCTAGGCGTGGCTTTGTCCCTGACCCAGTGTTTGATCTTGAGTAAGACCCTTCTCTCTCTGATATCAGTTGTCACACCTAAAAAATGAACAGAGCATAATGACTAAGAGCAAGGAGTCTGGAGCCAGGCGGTTTCCATTCCAACTCTGCCAATGGTGTGTCTCAGTTTTCTCACCTATAAAATGGGGCTAAGAAGATAGATTGAATTAATATTTGTAAAGCACTAATGACTGTGTACAAGACGTTATTGTTAAATGCCATCGAGTCGGATCTGACTCATAGTGACCCTGTATAGGATTTCCAAGGAACAGCTGGTGACTTTGAACTGTCGACCTTATGGTTCATAGTTCAGTGATGACCCTATAGCACCACACCAGGAGGCTATGTGTACAATGCATAGAGAGTGCTATATAAGTATTTAAGTAAACAGATGTCTTCCAAGGGTCCCTTCAGTAGTGATATTAAATGACTTAGTATTAGGATCGTCCATCCCAGCCTGCCCTCTCTGAGTAACACACTGAACAGTGACTGGTCTTATCTAGACTCTAGGAGAACCTCACTGGGCCCGGTCCTGAATTATCTTAGTCACGTGCCCATCACTGACATGTCTCAGTTGCCAGCACCTCCGGCACATTCCCTGGGAGACGAAACTATGCCCAGTTCCTGGCAGTGAATCTGGTGGTTGGTAGGAAACTCTTTGGGGGTCAGCACGGAAGCTTCCAGGAAGCCAGATACCACGTGAATTTTAGGGGGAGTGAGGTTGACCCCTACTTCTTTCTCTGAACCCAGGGATCCTCTGGCTGCCAACTGCAGCAGCGTTTTTGTTGAGAGAGAAATGGAGACCAGGAGGCAGGTATACCACCTCCTGGGGGGCCAATGCAGAAGTGGGGCCATGAGGTCTTAATTAACTCAGACCCCAACCCCCCTTTGGAGGGCACCTTATCTCCTCAGTTCACCCAGATCTGCCATCTCAGCAATTTGAGGGGGAGCTTCTTTTGGGGCCAGCAATGGGAGTCGTGACTGGGAATGCCGGGTAAGCCGTTATTTTTGAGAGCACGTTGCCAGAGAACTTCAACAGGCAGACGGTGGGTGCTTGGGAGGGAGGGAGGGTGAGGCCAGCAGCAGAAACCAGAGCCTTTCTCCCCTCCAAGGCAGAGAGAGGGGTGGAGGAGGAGGGCAGGAGCTGGGTGGGGGGGAAAGAAGTCCCAGTGGTTCACAGGGAAGGGAGCCCTCAGAGCAGGACGGGCCTTCCAGGGACAATTGCCTGCAGGAAGCTGGTCACTGCTGGTGGGAACACCATCACAGAAGCAGGCCTCTGAATTGTGCTTGGTCCACGCCTATTTTTAAAATGTCACAGGTCACCTCTTGAGGAAGCCCCAAGCTTTTTGGTATAAAATGATGGTCTCAGATATGAGGGATGGGGCAGCTGAATCCAGGGACCCTTGGATTAGGGCAGCAAGTGGCATCTGTGCAATCCAGCTGTGGTTCTCCTGCCTGGCTGCTTATCTCCAGCTGGGAAGCATTTGGAACATACCGATGCTGAAGGCCTGGTCACTGAGGAGTTTCCAAGTTCCCCAGGTGAATCCAGTGTGCAGTAGGGCTGCCAACCTCTGTCCTACCTGATGTCTCATGATGATAATTGGTATCATTTCTAATAATTGATCAAAATCATTTATACTTTTAACACCTGTTTCTAGTATCCATCCATCCATCTGGACCTCTTTGCAGAAATTCCCAATTGACAAGAAACTTTCATACCTCTGACACTATCTTTGTGAAGAAGGCTTGCCAATCCCATTTTGCAGATGAGAAAACCGAGACCTAGAGATGGGGAGGACCTTGCCGAAAATCACTAGACTGGTCAGGGGCAGAGCTGGGATTGCAGCTACACCATAAATGAGCCTTTCTGCTGCTTGGCTCTTGGTCCAAGCGGTGGCAGTAGTCCCACAGACTGGGTTTAAGGTGACTTCTCCCACTGCCTTTTGGAGGGTGTCCCCTCCAGGGGCCAGGTTCCCACAGGGTCCCACTCCCCTCTTGGCATCTCAGTTCAGCTGACTGACATGCAAATTAGTTTAATTATTTCTTCTTCTAAAATAAATTATATTTTGCAGTAGCTGCAATATGTTGTGTCAGGCAAAATTACATTCAATATTTTTAAACTAATTGATGCAGCCTTGAGGAAGGCTGATTGACAGCCTAGAGATGAGCAGGCCTGCAGCCTTAGCCGATTCCTAAATTAAAATGAAATGTGCTTTGGCCCTGTGCTTTCTCCTGGAGCTCCTCACCATTTATCTGGGGTGGTGGCAGGGGGAAGCCCTGGGGTCCAGGAAGTCCCCAGAGGCTGGGCAGCCCAGTGGGGGCCTCAGAAGAGGCCAGACTTAGAGCAAGTAGAACTGTTACACTGAATGGGCAGATGGCTTACCTTAGGTCTTAAACTTCCTTCTGGAAAACAGACGGGTCTGGACTGAGTGATTTGGAACTGGCTTTTGCTGACAATTATGAACTGAGTGCCTGCTATGTACCAAGGACACAGTGGGGAACAAGACCAACATCGTGTGTCTAATAGCAGGGACAGATATTACTCTGCGCTGGGAGAACTGAGAGAAAAGCACAGGAGTAATGAGTGTGTGGAGCAGGGATGCTTCCCCTGGAAGAACTGACATTTCAGCTGAGACCTGGCTAGCAGATAGTCAGGTGAAAGGGCGAGTGAGGCAGGAAGTAGGAACAGCATGTGCAAAGGTCCTGGGGTGGAATGGAATTGGTGGAAGGAAGAACTCAGGCCTTGGTGGAGCTACTTCCCTAACCAGTGGCATCTGGACCAAACTGGGCTTGGAAGACGTAAGGTCGCTGAGAAGGAAAGAGGAGTTGGGGACTGATTTGTTGGCCCCTCTAGGGTTCTGCTAGCAAAGTGTTCCTTCCCAGAAGGGCACAGTGAGCGCCTCCCATAGAATATGGTCATCCGGCTAACCACTGTGGAAAGGAGGGACTATTATTATCACAAATTTGCTGATGAGGAGACCAGCTCAGAGAGGCAAAGCAACATGCCCAAGGTCTCACAGGAAACTCAAACCTGGGTGGGATTGAGGAGTCTCTAACCACCAGATAGTACTGCCTTTCTTATTGTCTTATGCCCAAACTCTCCATGCCTTCAAGGGCCTGGACAAAAGCTCTGCTTGTCCCACAGAGCTCTCTTTGACTGCTCATGTTGTTAATAAGTGCCGTCAAGTCTGTTCTGACTCACAGCAATTCTGTATAGGGTTTCCGAGGAGCAGCTGGTGGGTCTGAACTGCTGACCTTGTGGTTCCCAGTCCAGTGCTGATCCTACAGTGCCACACCAGGAGTCCTGGAGTCCTGGGCAACAGAGTACGTAAGTCGACATGCCCATGAGGCCACATGTGACCAGACTCTTTTTGCCTTCCCTCTCTCAGGCCTCTCCCTCCTTTTCGCTCTGCTCCAAGCTCTGTCCTTTGCCTCCTTCTGATCTTTGCCCAAATATCTTTTCCAAGAGACTTCCCTGACAAGCCTGTTTAAACCTGTCCCTTCCCTAACCACTGTGGGTTTTTTTCTATGGGTTTTTTCCTTTTTAATTTATCTAACTACCTCCCCCCACTAGAATGTAAGCCCATCACTCATCAGTCACTTTGTCGTATCATGTGTATAGTGCTCTGATGCTGGAAGCTATGGCACTGGCATTTCAAATACCAGGGAGGACACGTTCAGGAGAGCTTCTAGACTAAGGGAGACTAGGAAGAAAGACCTGGAAATCTAATTTCCTAAAACTAGTCAGTGAGAACCTTATAAATGCCATTAGAATGTTGTCTGATACAGTGCTGGAAGATGATCCACAAAAATAGACTCAAGTACACCAACAATCAAGAAAGAGCACAGGATTTGGCAATGCTTCATTCTCTTGTTAGATGGGGTTGCCATGAACCTTAGCTGAATTAATAGCAGATAACAGTAACCATTCCGGCT